GTGTGTGTGTGTGTGTGTGTGTGTGTGTGTGTGTGTGTGTGTGTGTGCTGCTGCCTTTATTGAAGTGTATTCAAATTGCCAAGTTGTAGAACCAGTCTAGTTCTGTACTAGTAGATCATGTCTGTAGATGTTCTCATCTGTAGATGGTACAATAGCATACCTATGATCTAAACTCATGACGCTCATGGATTTCATGTCCTCAGACAACTGAATAGATAAAGGGCATTCTTTATCCCAGGTAATAACATGAAGTTGAACTAGCCTGTCTGTCCCAACCCTGTTTCTCCCTCATCAGCACTCTCCCTTCTCATCCAACTGTATATGTCTACAAGTTCACATGAGTTACCATTTCTCCAACCTGTTGTTCTGATCCTGTATTCTTGCACCTGTTCGAATATTAAACTTGACCATATGTCCTTGCCATGCTGACCATGGTGAATGTCTTGGACCTCTAAGCCCTTCAGCCTTCTGACCATGAGGTTACTAGACTAAATCAGCTCTTCCATGGTAGTTGGTTTCCTCCTTTCATCCTCTCTGGTTCTCAACACACAACCTAATATAACATGGGTGCCTATGATGGTTAACTTCATTGTGAACTTGACATAACTTAAAATCACCATGGAAGCCCCACTGTGGATGTAGCTGTGAAGACTCTTCCAGAAAAGTTTAAGTGATAAGGAAAGACCCACCCTGAAGTGTGGGTAGCATCATCCCTTGGGCTGAGCTCCCAGACTGATATAAAGGAGGAGGCTGAGTGAGCCCATACTTCCATGTCATCATGAGACAAAGTGCCTCTGCGCTCCATCATGCCTTCCTTGCCCACCATGATGGATGTCTTCTCACACTGGGAGCTAAAATAAAACCTTTCCCTACTCAAAGACTGTTGGTAACAGCACAAAGAGAGGTGACCAATACAGTACCTATGAGATGGTTATAAAGGGTAAATAAACTCAAGCCCAAACCAGAACAGATACCGATAACTTTAGTACAGGAGCTGTTCCCTGAGAATAAAATAAATACAAAGATTAAAACCTTGAAGTGAATTACATTCCATTTGCCTACCGTGGTATGATGAGATTAAAGTGCTGAACAGTTTTGGTATACTACACAGAACTTGGAAGAACACAAAATGCACTTTGTAAGTTGGGTTTCCTTTGCACTTCTAGCAGTGATGATTCAGTTACAGGATGAAGGGCAGAGGCTAACGAAGCCTAAGAGGTAGCGAAATCTGACAAAGCTGAGTTAGCATCTCCAGAGATGGCTTTCTTCAGGAGGCGAGACTGGCTTTTGATACTGGGAAGGACAGTGTTTACGCTGAGATGGGGGAAAACAGATGGTTTTCTAGAAGTGGGAGGTATGAGAAGAAGGGAGGGAGGCTGCTGTGTTAGTGAGCATTGCTAAAGCCCACTGGGAGGCAGCGGCAAATAGCGGGTGCTCAGAAGGTCGAAGAGGAATGTAATGAAGCTTTGAAAGTTACTAACAGCCAACGAACTTTGAGGTTTTTTTTTATGGTAAGTGAAGCAAATGATTGATTGACGAAATGGGGGAGAAGTACAGATTCTGTTGATTAAACGTTGACCATTATAATTTTCAGTGTAACAGCTGTGCCTGAAATTGCAGTAATTCAGAATGAAAAATAGACACTGTTGTTCTAAAATAGCCCGGACCATTTGGAGCCCTGCAGCATGAGTCTGTGCTGTGTGGTTTCGCCGGGAACATAGTGGGGTGCATGTTCTTTCTCTTTCATTTCATCATAATGGCTTGTTCTATGGGTGGGGAGCTCAAACTGAACAACAATTTCCCAGCGAGGGCTGGCGTGTGGGTTGTATACAGGAGTAGAAGCACCAGCCAAAGATATGAAACTTCTTCCTGTCTACCTAGTGATGATTTTTATACAGAGTATTTTAACGATGAAACATGCACGCTTTGTCTACTAACCATCTATTATCAACTTATTAGCATCTGCGCTCTGTCATTCAGTTATATTCCTGAGAAATTAAACCTTAGGCCTGTCGTTCTGCTTTGGCATCACATTAAATCATTAACCGTGCTATGCTAAAAGGTAGGATTCTTTAATCCATAAATATGATCTACAAGTCAACCCATGGCTCCTTAGTGTTTACTTCTCGTCATAATTTATTTCAAGATCATTGTTTCAGCCTTCAGTGGCTGAGCACTATCTGTATGGTCAAATAAATTAAGTTGTGTTAACATATAGTACCTCCTCTACTAGCGTTTT